GGCAAAGGCCAACAAGATGTTATTGAAACAACAAAAAAAAAATGGCTAATTGAAAATCATTTCAATGTTCTCTAAAAATTTTAATGAATTTATGGGCTTGATAAAAGAGAAAATTTTTTGTTCTGACAACAAAACTATTGTCAAAAATGGCTAGACAGCTTTTAAAGGAAAAAGGATTGTTATTTCAATATTTAATTAAAGTGAAGTTTTACCTAAAGATGTAGAAGATTCTAATAAACCATTTTACGACTCAAGTTTTGTCTAACTATACCTGAAAAAAATTATTATGTAAGAATTGAAAAAAAACATCCATAAACAAAAAAAACTACTTTTGTGTTTTTAAAAAAACTAAATGTGTTATAAAAAGAAAACAACCTAGATTTTATTTTGACTAAAGTAGTACATTAAGCCAAATGCAAGAGGTACAAATTCTGTTTGTGTTTGTACTTATCACCAAAATGCAAAATCACTAGTAGATGATTTAACTACAAAAACTGTTTACTCAGTGGAAAACAAAAAATGCATGCTTACACAGTGAAATGGTTACCCTGGTAAAGAACCACTCACCATGTATTTGTATAAGATATTTGGAGAATGTGAAAATGATTTTGAGATAAACTACAAGTAATTGCGAACTAAAAATTTTACAAAACTATTATGTTTGACAGCAGATGCTCTAAAGTTAACTAAACTTTTAAGGCATAGGTAAAATGCAGAATGTGGAAATTTTCAATGAGAAAAAATGAGAGAATAAAGTGCAAAAATAAGGTTAGGGGATTGGGGGCTTTAGTACACACATCAACTAGAGGATATGCAAAGGAGTGCTGCTATAATGAATAAGGTTTGAGTTAGGGCAGGGATATGGTTAGGGTTAGAAAATATTTATTCCTGCATTTTACCTTTGCAGAATGTTTAAATTTTCACATATTCGCATTTTACCTAAACTTTTGGTATCTTGCTTTGAAAAGTTACAGACATTCTTTTATTTTCTACTCTCAATCACTCTTAATCAACTAAAACAAAATTTGGATTAATCAAGCATTATCATTATTGATGACTTTGCAGAAAATTATGCTTCATAGTTCAAGATGAAACACAGCTATCACTGGATCACCCAACAATGCTCTTTACATCCATTAGTGTTATACTATAAATAAAAGGTATATTAAAACATATTTTTTTAATATACCTTTTATTATTTGAAAAATTTTGTGTACAAAATTTTTCAAATAGTAATACCCACATTAAAAGCAAAATTTTGTAGTGCAAGAAAGTTTGAAACAACCATACCAAAACCAAATACTAGAAACCATGTATGAATTTTGTATTGAGAAAATCAAAGGTGTTAACTTAATTAACATAAAAAGATCAGATTTATCACTGCAATTTAAAGAACAACAAGAAAGGTACAATGGTGTAACAACTCTACTTGGTGCTCATAGTTTCATCAGTTTATAGATCTTGATGATAACAGGGTTGGGGTAGAGAGATGTTATTACATACACTGGCATTCTACATATGTTGTAATGTTGGGGTAAATAATGTTGGGGTAGAGAGGTGAACACAGAAGCTAACCACACAATAATCCACAAATTTAAAATGAATTAAGATATGTTTCAATCTGATATTGTTTTCGATTAACTTCAAAATCATCTACTAAAGTATTAAAGTTTAATTTTTTGCACAAACTCTAAAATTTTTCTTATTTTTGCCTTTTTTTTTTTTTCAGGAACAAATAGTTGGTTTTTCCATGACTTAAAATTGACAATTTTTGAATGCAATTCTTCAATATTATAATATTTTTAAATAATTGATAGTTTTTTTTTTAAAAAAAAAAAAAAAACTTGCTATTCTAAACATTTTGTAGAAATTTGAAAAAAAAATTTTTACGCCATCTTTTTTTTTTTTTTTCCCAGATTATTAAAGATTGGAATGAAAAAAGTTTTGGTAAATGTTGAGAGTAGTAAATTTTGAAACAATTTAAAATTACATCTTCTTTCATTCTTACTGTTTTTCTCTTCCTGAAACTGTTAATTTTCACAATATATTTGCATTTTTGAATTTAATGTTGAATTTCTACAGTTTATTGGATCTTCTGGAACTAATTTGACTTAATTTAACTAATTGGAATTAATTTGAATTAATTTGAATTAATTCAATGGATCTTCTGAAATTAATCAAAGTAGATTTTATTGAAAAAACTTCAAAAAATTAAATTTTAAACTAAAATCTTAAATCTAGCTGGAACCAAAACTGAAATTTTGTTTCTAACCGAAACTATAATTGGAAATCAAATTTTGATCAATACAAATAGTTACTGTATCGGACAAAACAAGTGCAACCAAATAATGCTAATTTAGTTTCTTTATATAAAAGTGCTGCATTTTTTCAATTTAGAGAAATAACTTTGTAACTGTTTAGAGACAAGGTTCTTCAAGTTTTATTCATCACAAAGTTCATTATTTGTACACGAAAATTAATAAATTAATCAAAAGTATTAAAAAAAGTTGATTTCCTTCTGGACAAAACAAGTGCAACTCCACAAAATGTTGACCAAGCTGTATTTCGCTATCAATATTTTGTGGCCAATTCTTTGTTGTCGATCAGTCTTGCATCTTCGAGGCATAGATTTGATCAGGTGATCAATGAAACTTTGTGGAATCGCTGCCCAGGCCTTTTGGATTTGTTCAAACAGTTGATCCTTATTACGAACACCTTCATGATTAATTCTTGCAGTTAGCAGAAAAACACCCCCAGACCATTATATTGCCTCCACCATGCTTCACCATGTCTTATGGCAGTAACAAAAATCGAGGCGTTTTCTGGCCGGTCGACATACACAGCAAATGCCATCACTCTCAATGATGTTGAACTTCGATTCATCACTGAACAGGACAGTTCACCATTTCTGCACATTTCAGTCAATATGAGATGTAGCAAACAGGAGTCTTTTCTTCTTGTTCTTTAGTGAAATCAGCGGTTTCTTTGCAGGGTGTCGGAAAAACAACCCGGCTTTAACAGCACGCCGTCTGGTTGTTCAATCTGATACAGGCAGCTCTAATTGCTTTTGTATCTCGACTGATGATATCCAGGGATCCTTTTTGAGGGATCTGACAATCATAGAATCTTCTCTAGAAGTGGTGGAACGCAGTCTTCCACCTTTGTTATCTACTGCCAACTTCCCCATTGAACGATATTTGGAACATAGTCTTGATAAGGTACATTTTTTCACGCGATATTTATCACAAATACTTTTTTGTGACATTCCACTTACGTAATTGTCAATAATTTTTTTTCTTAGTTCCAATCCAAGACTGTCAGGAGCAATTTTTGCACTTGAAGTCATAAAAATAATAAAAATAAATAATCACGCTTTTCAAGGCTTACCGTGTAACATTTACCTTGTGATGATACAATAATAATCTGTGGAACACAATGTCTTGGTTGGATGTGGACTGTATTGATGTAATGAAACACTTGTTGTATTTCACTTCTTGTATTGATGTTCTTCGATAAAACACTTTGATAAAACTCACCTCGATAAACTGTCTTGATAATAATGACTGATTGACTTCCATATATTGACTGAATTACATGTCGGTTTTTATGTCTCTTATATAGTAAAATGAACCTGTGTGAACCTGTACTGGAAGATTTTAGATGCTTCTTTTCAATGCTTCTGGAAGCTTCTGGATGCGCCTGGATGCTTCTGAATGTTTCTGGATACTTCTGGATGCTTCCAGATGCTTCTTCTGGAAACTTCTGGAAGCTTCTGCATGCTTCTGGAAACTTCTGAATACTTCCTTTAATTATTAAAAAACTTCCGTGACGTTGACACGGACTAGACTTTAGAAAATGAAACAAACCAGAAAAGTTGCACTTGTTTTGTCCACTGCAAAATGGCACTTGTCAACGAAATTCTGCCTGTGTGTTGTCACCTGTCAACTGATTGTTCATGTCATGGCATGCTATGACTCCAGACTACTGAACTGTTTGCTGTGGTAGTATAGTTCGTTTCATTTTTTAAACATGTTAAATTAGGAACACTTTTTAGCATTGTTCAATGTTAGTTGTAAATGTTTTGTCCAATACTGTATGTATTTTTTAATCCTTAAATGCTAATATTTAAATATTATATTTAAATAAAAAGGAAAGGAATGTTAAAACTTACTTTTTACAAGACAGTGATAGAGTTTAAAACATTATGAGGATTTAATTTTTATGTGAAACTTTCAATATCATATCAGTGTGACATTTTTGCTTAATAAACATATTACAGTTGCAGATATAAATAAAATCTCTTATTAAAATTATAAGACATTCTATTAAAACAGTTTCACCATCCCAGTGACACCAGCCCTGTAAAAATATAACTAATGAAAAATAAAAACTTACTATCAAGAACAGCTCTTGCTAAAAGAGACTTATTTAATTCATAAACCACATTTTCCATCAAGAATGCCATGAAGAATGCCTCAACATCTAATGAATTATATAAAGAAATTTCATTATATTAAGGATTTGCCTGTCATAGTAAGTAAAAATAAATAAACTTGGAATCAAAAATATAATACCTTGTTCAACAGGATCATAAAAAAATCCGTGTTCATGTAAATTTGTAAATACAGATGGAATGAGATCTTGTAAATAACTCTAAACAATACGCTATGTATATATATATGTATATATATATATATATATATATATATATATATATATATATATATATATATATATATATATATATATATATATATATATATATATATATATATATATATTTCAAAGCCGCATGTTATTATAAAATGACCCTGACTGATTGGAGAAGATAAAATACATGAATTTATAGCAAAACCACTTAAGTTAAAATATGATTGTCACAACCAAAATGTTGAAAAACATGTGAAACTTGTTACAGAAACTTCAGCTTCTGTGATTAGACGTGAACGCAGAGATAGAGTTACTAGATCCAAGAAATTAATTTAAAATTTCACTTAAAAAAGTGATTTTAAATTGTAATGGTTGGTATATTTTTTGTGTTTTATATACAAATAACGCTTTATTTGTGAAGATTTTGCATCTTGATAGTTAATTTGAACATAGATAGGGAAGACTGGGGCAAAACGGGCTGATGGGGTGAAACAGGATTTCGTTAAAAAACCTTTTCAGAGCCCCAAAAGCGTCAATCTGTGAGATTAGATTACGAGAAGACACCATCTTTTGGTTTTGTTCCAATAAACGAATTCAGTCAGCTGTGAGCGGCAAGTTCAGTTTTGCATCTGTTTTGATCTAATTTTTGGCATTTTTATTTTCTGCACAGTTACAAATATTTTGAAGCAGTAAGTTATATTTTTATTTCTATTGGTTTATAGTTATATATTCTATATAAACAACTTAACATCTAATTCATAATTTAGCCATGCAAATGGTGAAATGCTAAAAGTTTTCACCCCTATATGGGGCAAAAAAGTATACCTCGGGTGGGGTAAAATGAGATACTAGCCCACCTAGAAATGAGATACCTAGCTAAATTAGCATGATTTTATAGCCATATTATAGGATCATATAGGGCATATAGGGCCTCTATACTATGCATATACTTATACCATGACTGTAATATTAACTACTTAAAATTTTAAGGTTTAACATATTAATGTTAAATATTACATATTAACATATTAAATGCTAATTCATTAGAATTAGTTTCAGTTTAAAATCTTCAAGTCTAATAATATTTGTTTTATCTTTTGGTCTTAAAAATGAGAAAATATCTACGAAAAACAAATAAGAGTTCTTGGGATGAATCTGCCATGCTTCAAGCGGTAATGACAGTGGTCAATGGAGTTCATGGGTTCAAAAAAGTTGCCGAGCTTCACAGGGTGCCCAAGACTACATTAGAGCGTAGGGTAGCCAAGTACAAAAAAAATATGGATATCGAGGAAGCTAGTAAAAAGAGAGTTTATTTATCTTGTTTATGTGAAATCTTTAATAGGCCTATTGATTTTTTTATACCAGCACATTTTATAAATATATCTGCAGGATATTTTTTTAAATATAAATGATTTATCATCTTACCTTGTCCTACTGGGGAGTACGGAGGCTGTGTGGTATGGCACACAGATTCTGAACAAAGAGTCCTGGGTTCGAATCTCGGTGGAAGCATCACGATTTTTTTCTTGTCTGGAGAGTCCACCGAGTTTTGATGGGTGCGTGACGCAAGTTAGGGAAAGTAAAGGCGGTTGAGCATTGTACTGATCACACAATCCCCTCGTATGCGGTGGTCACAGAAACTGGTGAACCATACTTTACCTGCCCTATGGATCAACATGATCTGAAGGGTTTATTTTTTTTTACTTTTTCCTACTAATTTCAAAATCTACGACACAATTTTACAGTTTAACTTTTATTTTCATTTCAGCACTGGGAGCATATAAAACAGTGTTTACGGCTGGTAAGGAAAATGAGCTTGTTGAATACATTTAGCAAATGGAGGGAATGCTATTTGGACTGACTTTGATGGAACTTTGCCAAATGGCCTACCGACTGGCCGAAAGAATTAAAAAGCCACATCCTTTCGGCCATGAACATGGTGCAGCTGGGTACGATTGGTATAGGGGCTTCATGAAACGGCATTCTAACCATATTTCACTTAGAAAACCTGAAGCTACTTCCGCAGCAAGAAGGACAGGCTTTAATAGAGTTGCCGTTGATTTGTTTTTTGACTTGCTAAGAAACGTCGTTGACTGCAACAAAATAACAGTAAATAAAATTTGGAACTGTGATGAAACAGGCATCACCACTGTGTTTTTTGTTTTTATTATACTTCACTTCCTCAAGGCCGAGAAGGCCACTACAGACGAGGAGGCTACTTATTTTGTGGCTATAACCCTCTCTCAACTCTATAACTCCGAAACACGAACCTTGACGAACAAGGTCGCTGTGCAGAGAAACAAGTTGAGCGCGGTACTACCAGGGACGTGGTGGGGATTGAACTCGGAACCACTCGTTTATGAAGCGAGCGCTCTACCACTACACCACTACCGCATGTTGCCTGTTTTATCACAGTTCCAAATTTTATTTACTGTTATTTTTAAATAACATTAAAATCCCTTTCGAAAATTATATCCACCAAAGGGAAAAGATAAGTAGGTGCAATCACCTCTGCAGAGTGAGGGCAGCTTGTAACTGCTATTATTTGCTGTTCGGCAAGCGGAAACTATGTGCCACCAATGCTGATCTTCCCACGAAAACGAATGAAAGAAGAGTTGATGAATGGGGCACCTCCAGGTGCTTGGGCTGAGTGTCATCTAAGTGGCTGGATACAGTCAGAGCTCTTTCTAAACTGGTTTAGAAAATTTATTACTCATTCAGGAACAACAAAAGACAATAAAGTGCTTTTGATCTTGGATGGTCATGCGACACACATAAAAAACACAAAAAACACAAGATTGCAATCCCTGGACCTAGCTTTCATGAAGCCACTTAGGGTGCATCATGAGAAAATGGCTTCGTGAGCACCTTAGGCGAGTGGTAACACAATTTCAGATTGCAACCCTATTTGGCTCTGCATATTTGGAGGCAGCGAACATGAAAAATACCGTCCAAGCACATCTGCCTCAACTTGCACCAATGCACCCAACACCTCTACATTATCCAGCTCTTCCACTTCATTGCTTAGCACTTCAATATCTACATTATCTAACACTTCAATTTCTGCATTACCAGGCACCTCAACACTTCCAATAACCAACACTTCAACTTCACCAAGACCCACCACTTCAACTTTACCAAGACCCAGCAATTCAACTTAACCAACACCCAGCACTTCAACTTCATTACCCAACACATCTATTCTATCATTGCCTAGCCTTTTTACTACTTCTCCTAGGCATATCATTCCTTTTTCAAAGAAGAGCTTCAAAAAAAGAATGTCTCGGCAAAGGGGAAAGACAGCAGTGCTAACATCTTCCCCTTATAAAAACTCATTAATTGTAGCTAAGGAGAAGAAAACAGCAACCAAAAAGAAAACTACTAAAGTAGAAAATAAAGAGGATGACACAAGGTGTCTGCACTGCAATGATAGATATTTGGAGAGCCAGGAAAGCTGGGTTACTTGCACAGCTTGTGGTAGCTCGGCACATTATTTGTGTGCTGGCATAGAAGAAAGGGTAAAAGAGCCAGAATTTGTTTGCGAATTGTGTGTTTGACTCAGTTTGAGTGCATTTATCATCATTTTTGCCCCAGGTATGGGGCAAAACGGGATTTTATTATTATGTTTTTATTTTATTAATAAAACTTTTTTTACAACTTCCAATTCAATTCTTGGTAATAAAGTTTGTACCTTATAGTGTAAACTTTTGTTTCTATATTAAATGTTTACTTAAGTATTTGTATTTATGATTTTGTTTGTGATTTAGTCTTAAATATATCATTTTGCCCCAGTCTCCCCTATTATATATTGAAAAAAAATATAATAACAGATACTTTCGTATCCGTTATCATATTTTTGTAATATATGGTATTATTTTAACTAAACAACAAAAAAACAAAAAAATTTTGGCAATTAACTTCATAAATATAGTTTTTAGAAAAAAAGTGTTATTTCAATAAACAATGTTCTAAATTTTATTCTGCATCATTTGGTACCTTAATGATGCTTGTAGCTTATTTTATAATTAATTTATGATTATTTTTGCATTTTTTATACATAAAAACGTCAAAAATTTTACATTTTGAGACTTAAACCTAAGTGGGTCAGGTAAAACTGGTAACGACTGACTTTTTTCTTCATAAATATGTTCATATATATATATATATATATATATATATATATATATATATATATATATATATATATATATATATATATATATATATATATATATATATATATATATATACATATTATTTTATTTTCATACATATATACATACTATTTTATTTTCATTTCTTTTACATACTTTAACACAATATGCGCGCAATAACTCTAAACCGTAAAATGTTGAACATATTCCCTTTGTGCTCTTAACCATCGATATATATATATATATATATATATATATATATATATATATATATATATATATATATATATATATATATATATATATATATATATATATATATATATATATATATATATATATATATATATATATATATATATATATATATATATATATATATATATATATATATATATATATATATATATACAGCTTTGACCTTTCATTGTCAATTCATGAATTAATTATTTCATATTGAAAAAATGTCAAAAAGACTTTTGTAAAATAAATAGTTTTAGTAAAATAAAGTAAAGAAAAATATAGTACCCACTTAGACTTTCTGAATAATTAAAGTTAGATGTTATTATTTTAACAATATTTTATTGTAAATTAGTGTTCAGATTTTATAAAAAAAAGTACAAACCTTATATTTTGGCAGCTCACAGGTTAAAAAAGCATAAAAAACAATAATAAATAAAAATTTTACTTTTGATGTAATCTTATTTGAAATTTATTTTAATTTATTTTAGATTCAGAAAACATATACCTTAATATAAGTTAAAACTCTATATTACAAACTAAATATATTTTTCTAACTTGCAGTCTTTTCAGCTTTTATAGTAATATCCCTTGGAACTAAAATTTACT